GCACTGAAACAGCCTTGGATGCCTTTATTTGGGATAGAGTCGAGATGAGTGCTCTACCCTGTTGATTCTTCTTGACCTATTAGTGCCTTTCAGTGTTATTAACCATAATATTCTCCGAATTGGCTGGATGGGATAGGAGTTGGTGGCACTGTACTGTGGTGGTTCCACTTCTTTCTGCAGGGCTGCAACTTGACAGCAGTGTTGGGGGCATTCTGCTCCATCTTGGCAGTAGGCTGTGGAGTTCTGCAAGGCTGTATCTTGGCACCCATGCTATTTAACATCAATATGAAACCACTGGAAGGTCTATCTGGGGATTTGAAGAGCAGTGTTGCTCATGTGCTGATGACCAGCTTTATCTCCCCATGCCACCTGAATTGGGAAAGGGTATGCAGGTGCTAGACCTGTGTGTGAAGGTAGTGATGAGCTGGATAAGGGCCCATAAACTGAGGTCAAATCCTGAGAAGACAGAAACTTTGTGGGTAGATAGTTCCTGGGCCCAAGAATCAGGTAGATGGCTCGGTCTCTATAGGGTAACACCCACCCCTTCAGGAATAGGTATGTGATCCAAGGATAGTCCTAGACTCCCAGCTTGAGGCTTAGGTAGCTTCAGTGGAAAGGAGCATCTGTGCCTGGCTACAGCTGGCTTGACAGTTACAGCCATTCTTGAACCAGCTTAACCTGGATATAGTTAGTCTACGCTCTCATAGCCTCCTGAATGGAATATTGCAACGTGTTTTACATTGGGGCTGCTCTGAAGACATCATGGAAACTGCAGCTGGTGATTTAGTCTGAGACAGTGAGGTGGGATCATATTACACATATCTAGAAAGGAAGGCACTGGTTGGTGGTGACCTACTGGGCCCAATTCAAGCTGGCAGGACTAGTGTACAGAGCCATGAACATCTTTGTACCGATGTCTATGGCCTGGAAGCCATGACAGGAAATAGGGTCTTCCCAGTTATGACACCCAGGATCTCCAATTCACATCCTATTGACACCAGTCTGTCTTCCACACTATTCTAATTCAGATGAAAACTGAAGATCTATTTAATTCTGTAGACCTCTGGAACATAAAAAGATGGCTCCGCTGATTTAATCTTATCTCTAACTATGTTACTGCTGACCATGTTAGTTAGGATTGTGATGGAAAAGTTGTTTTTTGTGTTTATTTTGCTGCTTGTTGTTAGTCACCCTGGGCTACTGTGTGAGGAAGGGTGTAATATGAATGAATATTTGTTGATGTTGTTTATTATGTTGCATGTTTGATTCTAATAAAAGGCAACAATCAGCCTCATCAGCTCCAACATAAATTCTATGAATACTGAGTGTTGGCTAAATTTGGTTTTATTTGTGTTCAAGAAGGGAGACAACAGCATGATAATTGTATTTAAAATTTGTCTGCCTTTACTGAGAAAACAGACCATGTGTGATTCGACACATGTTTAATTCAAGCTATTTTAGCAATGTAACATAATAGAAGAAAGTAATTTGGTACTGAAATAATATGTTTTGTTCTGTCAAGCTACTTTTCTTATTTTCAATGTAAATTTTTAAACCAACAACAGCAAATACTGCAAATGGAAGCCCAAAACAAACTCAACTGATCTAAAATGTCAACATCTAAAGTAATTTTTGTTTTTTCTCATCCCAGATTTTCCTGCTGTTAGTATTCACTTTCGAACCATTCCAACATTCATTGCCATTCATAAACAGGTTGTATGTTGCTCCTTGTTAATGTTTGGTCTGTGGTGTGCTAAGCAAGATACATATTCCATTTCTCATCACATTGCAATTTGTAACCATTGTAGGAGGGGTCATCTATAATTTCCTGCAGTAAGTATGTCATGTGTTTGTTGTTGTTGTTGAACATAGAAACAATCTCTTTAAAAGCAGAACTAACACAAACAGCATCTGTGAGGATGTGGTCACAAGCGATACTCTGGTTCATCAAACCATGCCACTCAAAGAATGCACATACAAGGGTCCTTATGGATAAACAACAGTAGAGGCTGATGGGGAGTGTTTCACTTGGAATAGCTATACACAACTTTATTCCTGTTACTATGGTCCAAACTAGATGTGGCACACAGTCATGTGTATCTTTTCCACTGACTTCTAAAAACAAAAATAGCCTGGCCAGGTGCTGGTAAATTTAAGAGAAAGAAAATTGGAGAGTGGGGTGGTTGCTTATCACCCACTGACGGCTGCCATTTTTCGATTAAAAAAAATCACTATTCTCAAGCACAATGCTTAGATCTTACAACAGGTCCTGGGCACTGCTTATTTTTAAATCTAGGACCACCACTTGGTTGATGATAGGCTGATTCAAGCAAAATCATCCACTGTATCTGTGGCTCTTGGATGCTTCCAGGCAGTTGCTATCTTTGGGTGGGATTCAGTGATATATTGGCAAGCCCATGTTGCAGAATTAAAAGCTGGCTGAAGTCAGAACGCTTTGCTGCAATATCATATAACCTCCCCACAAGCAAATTAGGGTGAATGCTCATTAAAGAGGTCTCCTGGAAGCAAATGCTATGTCTTTTTCAAGTCTTAACATTTTTGTTTACCAAGCGAGTTCTCTTTCACAGTTACCTGTTCCATCTCAGGATAGCTAAGGTCAATTATTTCTCCTACTGTTGTTATGGCATTCTGTAGGGTTAGTTGCCTCTCCAATTCCTACTTGCCTTTCAAAATCATTATCAGATGGGGGGGGGGCATGCTTTTAAGAAGCTAGAATTGGAGAAGGTTGAGAAGGGCTTCCAGAATTTGAGGAATGGGAATTAGTATATTGCTTTCTGCTTTTCTCTTCCCTATAATGAATGCAGTGGTAGGTCTTGGGACCACCCATGCTGGAATAATGACTCACTCCCAAGTCTTGTACCCTCTGAAACAGACTTTTGAAGCTGTCTCTTCTTTTCTCCCTGATAGAACTCCCTGTAGTAATCTCTTTCTTTCCTCCTGCTCACCTAGCAGTTTCATATTCAACAAGTAACACACAAACAGTATAGAGGATGACATCATCCCATTCAGATCTCCATCATACCTAATTTGGCTGACTATCATGGGTGGTAGTCCACCAATAGCATTAAGTCTTGTAGCTCTATGCAAAACATTATAACTACCTATGAGAGCTGATGAAGCAAAAGTGGTTATGAGATCGAGCTATGAAGCAGGGAATCCCTGGTTCAAATCTCACCTCTGCTGTGAGCTCACCGGATAACCTCAAATAATCCACACTCTTTTCAGTCTCAGCCCCCAATCTCAATCTGCAAAACTGAGATTATAATACTTACTTACCTTACAGGGTTGCTTTGTAAGAATTACAATACAATCTGTTTGAAGGACTTTGAATACTCAAAAGTTCTAGTAATTATTACTACAGTGGTACCTCGAGTTACAGACACTTCAGGTTACAAACACTTCAGGTTACAGACTCCGCTAACCCAGAAATAGTACCTCAGGTTAAGAACTTTGCTTCAGAATGAGAACAGAAATTGTGTGGTGGCTGCGCGGCGGCAGCGGGAGGCCCCATTAGCTAAAGTGGTGCTTCAGGTTAAGAACAGTTTCAGGTTAAGAACGGACCTCCAGAACGAATTAAGTTCTTAACCCAAGGTACCACTGTACTAGAAAGAGAGAGAAAATTCATTGGAGTGTTGGCATGGTCACCAAGAAAGGGGGGGACAAAAACAAACCCCACCCCTATTTTTGTGTGTTCACTTCTGCATATGTTTTAAAGACTGTCGCAAGGCAAATCTAAAAATATATACTATAAACACCAACAACTGGGAAACACTTGCCTGCGAGCACTCCAATTGGAGAACAGCCTTTACCAAAGGTGTCATGAGTTTTGAAGACACTCGAACTCAGGATGCAAGGGAGAAACGTGCTAAGAGGAAGGCACGCTTGGCAAATCCACACTGTGATCAACTCCCAGCAGGAAACCAATGTCCCCACTGTGGAAGGATGTGTGGATCTAGAATTGGCCACCACAGACACTTACGGACTCAATGTTAAAACCGTGTTTATGGAAGACAATCTTACTCGGCTACGAGTGATCACCAAAGAGAAGAAGGGAAGAAGAGAGATCATTGGTGGGGCTTTTCTTGTAAATAACACAAGCCCCCCCAAAAAGAAGGGTCCCTGCCCCAAAGAGCTAACAACCTAAATTGCAGATTTCAGCAGTGTGTGAAAGATAAGAAAAGATGTGTAGTTAAAGTGTGGTGCTGATCATGGCAAGGTTGCAGGTTTGATCCCCATGTAGGACAGCTGCATATTCCTGCATTGATGCAGGTTGGACTAGATGATCCGCAGGGTCCCTTCCAACTTTACAATTCTAAATGGGCAGAGGGGAGTCAAAGGTAGCTGATGCTTGTTTGGAGGAAAGGATTATGTTAAAAGCACAGGAGAGGGTGGTGAAGGTGGAGCGGGGTGAGCTTGAAGACAAAATTTATTTAAATATGTGCAGACAGCATGTGTGAAGATCCTGCCCTCCCTTCTCCCTAAGTTTGTGCTGCAGTCATTCCCTTTTTCTCGCTATCCTTTTATCCTCTAGTTAAATCCTTAAAGGCAGTGCTAGAAACTGTCATGAGAACACTCCCAGGGCCCAAGCAAGCACAGTTTAGCATATTCAAGGGAGAATTAGCAGGAAGGCTGAGTGTCACACAGGGCTTTTTTTAATCACAGACAGCTGATATTACAGTGTAAGAACACCCTTGCTTTATATACGATGAGCTTTAAAAAAAAAAGGCAAATCAAACAGCAGCCATCCACTATTCTCTGCAGCATCGGTGCCATAAATAGGTGCATTCCCATGGTTGGTTGATTTTAAATTTATGATAAAGTATATAAAATTAATGAGATGTGGCTACACTTAACATGCTGGGGGAGCGGAATCTACTCCCCTGCTGTTGTGCTCGTATCATGTACAGTACTTCAGAGTCGGTGCGCTGAAACCAGACACCCCTTTCATTCATGCAGTCAAACCCCAGGCAGTCTTATCTGTGACACAGCTTTAGACAATCCATACCTAACCCTTTTAATATTATTACCAGATTTGCATTGCAACCTCTTAAGCATGTGTTCTCTCTCTCTCTCGCTCGCTCGCTCTCTTTTTGCAAAAACTGGTGCCAGAGCTGGGGGCTGTCCTGCCGTACAGTTGTATTCTCTCTGTGTGCTTGCTGAGTGGGAGGGTCACACCGTGTGAGACTAATAAGGACAGAGCTGCGTCCCCTTCTCCCACTCTTTAGAGACTCCAGCAACTCCTCGGCAACTACAGCAGCTTTGTACAGGCATTTGCTGCGCTTCTGGGGAGGGGGAACTTAATCAAAGGTAAGAGCCTCTTGTTTGCGATCAGCTGATTTACACCCAGTATCCACTGCAAAGTACCGTGTGCTCTGCTTGGTTGGTTTGCTCTGGTTTTGACAGTGTCACAACTGAGCCCTCTATATAAATGGTATTATAGATTGTGCGCTGGTATATCAATAGCTGTCATTCTGTGCTTGTTACACTGTGCAGTCTGTGTAGCTGTGTGATGGGAAAACAGGTACTTTTTTTCCTTTTTCTTTTTGCACGGATACGCTGGTTTTAAATGAATGCCCTGTTCCATAAGGCACAGGGAACAGTTTAAAGCACATGCAAGGCTTAACATGTACAAACTGATGCAGTGATAATGAAGCTTGTGGGTATATTTTGTTCAATGTCTATATACCAAAGGAAATAACTGTGAGGGTGTGGGTGCGTTGCTCTGTCTTCTAGGGGCCGTTGCACTAAATTGCGTGTGTATATTGTGAAGGAAAAGAAGTCATAGTGGGATGCTGAAATTCTAAAGCAGCACAGGTCCCATGAGGAATTATAGTGCTTCTGCTTTTTGCTGGATTCTATTTCTCTCTCTTGCTGTCGGGGATATTTTGTTTCGTAATATTGCTAGAGATCCTGCATTTGGGACCAAGAGAGTGTTGTCCCCTCCCAGGTACACACCTGAGTAAGCAGAATGGTAGAGCATAACCCCCTATAAATGAACCCCTCTTCTCCAAACACACACACACACACTGAACAAGGATGCTATTCAATTCCCTATTTAGTCGCATTCTGAGGTGGGATGGTTTCTTTCCATATCTGTACAATTTCCGATTATTTAAATATTATACTGCTATCATACAGAATCCCATAAGCAACCGGGGCATGTTGTAGCTGAAGTTAACAGCTTTTAAGTCCCATTAATTGGAACGGAAGAGATGTTAGGCACATGCTTAAGTGCCCCACTAAAATGGATGCAACACAGAGGTGCTCCATATTTATTTGCTTTTTTAATTAGCTGGGGGGGGGGAGGATGTTAAAAGTCTTGATTAAGAACCACTTTGTGGGTTCCAAGGTATGGCACTCTCAGTCTCCCCCTTTCTACCACACCGCATAAACTTCTAAAAATGAAATACAAATATTTCCCTGTGCGGGTTCCAGATGTGGTTAAGGGTGGTGCATTTCCTTTGCTGGTGGTGAGGTGCTTGGGTTGGTTCCATTGTGACCGTTACGTGGTGTGGTGGAAAACGGATAACGGAATGCCCTCGTGCTTTTGCTTATACCACTGTCACTCATAATGAGCAACGCTAAACTCTGGTCGCATTACACACCACACATTTAAAGCACCTATCCCCTCCAAAGACTTCTGGGAATTGTAGTTTAAGTGTGCTGGGAACTGTAGATCTGTGAGGGGCAAGTCCAGTTCCCATACGGCAGTGGTGTCCAAACTTTTTTCAAAGAGGGCCAGATTTGATGAAGTGAAGGGCTGTGAGGGCCGACCAATGGGCCAACGATAGTTGTTGACCTTTTTTAGGATTGAAGTCGCTCAGCTTTTTTTAGGATTTTACCCCAGGAAATAGACTGCCGCAGGGCCTGGATTAAACCGACTGGCAGGCCCCTGAGACGGATTTTGGACATGCCTGCCATAGGGGAAAGTAATATGTTTTAAATATATGAATACACCATGAAATGCATTGCTTATTAAGAGCAAAGTAACTTTTGAAAGCAATAAAAATTCCCCCGTACCCTCCCATCTTACAGCCTGCCTCACTTTGTTAATCCTCACTACAGATCTGATCTAGTCCACTGGGGGAACTGTCTTCAGTTCTGAAGTTTTCTCTCAAGAGTGGCTTCTCTTATATTTTAAAATCAGGGTGGCTTTGGGCATGCACTTACATTGAACCATTGTTTTGCTTGCTTCCCGTCATGCTTAAAGCAAACAAACCTGTGGACTGCATATTTCTAAGGGTTCCTAAATCAATCACTCGGTTGCCAGAATAAGCACACACACCTCACACTTTTCTGATACGGCAAGTTCATGGCTGGAAGCGCCCTGAGTTTGGACCACGTGTGCTCACTTTGTGACATTCAAAGGGCTCTGATGAGAGGATGCCATTTCCCAATGGAAAAGGTGCTAGGTGTTGTTAATCAGGATGTGAAAGGCTTAAAATAGAAATGCTAAAGCCCCATTAGCCTTTGAAAGCAGGGGAGCAGCCACAATAAGCAGCATTGGCTTCACACTCTGATGTGACTTGCATCTAAGGCTGCCATATTTTTTTTACTAGCCTTGCTCCTGTGCTTCAATCAAAATCCTCTGCTCCTAACAAACATTAGCAGGTAAGGACTTTTCTGATATGAGGATAAATAGAGCCGTCTGGAAAGCTGTAGAAATAATAAACAGGCTGTGGCAAAAAGGCCATAACTGTACCTGCTGCCAGCTGAAGAGTTGGAGGAAACTACTGCCTGGGCCCAATCAAGCTGCAATAGCAAAATCAGGCAGTAAAAGCCTGTGGGGGTTAAAGAGGACTGTACCACTTCACAGGCAGCAGGGGAGCGTTGCAATCTTTAGCTGCTTCCTCATGTAAAAATTATCTCCAATTAAGTATATACTACACCAGGCTAGTCTATTCCCAGAGTTGCTGGCTGTCTCCTTGCTAAAGTTGTCCCCACCCCCCAGAGGGAGCAGGTTAAACACAGAACAATATTTAAAAATGGGATCCCCCCCTTCCAAATTCCCACAGGTTGAAGTGATACATTCCATTCACTCTTTCTTGCCCTCATTACTACTTGTCTGCTGCATATGTAGACTAGGCCTAGGTGAGCTTTTCTTGCACACGCAGGCAAGGAAGTAGGTCGTACGTGACATCCTCCTCTCTAAAGGTAATTGATATTTTCTTCTCCAGGCAAGGGTTTTCTGAGAGGAGTCGCTCTTTCACATATGTGTGTGTGGGCTAAGCACCTAAAATTGCTTTGGAGTGAGGTTGAGAGGAAGCACAGGTGAAGGTCCATTATATGTGTTTGGTGGTCCCTTCTCAGGCGTGTATGTATGAAAAAAGGCTCAAGTATTCTCCAGTGTGCTTTAGAAATCTCAGGTAATGGATCTGTTACATGAAGGAAATGCGCAAGCGGTCTAAAGTGGTCCAGCTTTTAAGGTTGGCTAATACCTCCTAGTTTACGATACTCAATGTTTATTTGCCCTTAACTGCCAGGAAACTCTGGGTAGGTGCTCAAGTACGTGAACAAGACCACCTGCCCGCCGTGGCTCGGCCTGTTCTGAAGCGAGTTCCAAGCTTGGGCAGAGAGAGAAGCTGGGCTATAGAGCATTCTTTTCCAATCCAATTTTGGAAGACGGAAGGGCGGTGGGAATGGGCAGTGCATAGACACTGGCTTGAGCGTTGCACTGCACGGGAAAGGAAGGTGAGAAATCAGCAGGAATCTCTATGCCTAATACTTCCCAACTAAGAATGAATGCAGCCAGCAAGAAAATAGCCATTGAAATCTGTTTCTAGTGGTAGGATTCAGCTCTGGAATTAAGGGGTGAAAGTAAACAGGAATGCAAGTTCATTCCATAAATCATCTACTTTTAACAGCTGTGTGACACGGAACCAGAAATTCAACCGGTGAGGTTCTTCCATCGCTCTGGCATGAAGATGCTGTAATGCAAGCTTTACCTACTGATTTTTTCTTAACACAATTATTGAAAACAAAGGAACCTAGCTTGAAAAAGGTTGACAGCCATGCTAAACAATATCTCACGTGTGAGCAATCACGCAGGTACCTCCCACGCAGATTAGGTGGCAGGAATTATAGGATGCATTTTGAAACTATTGGTTAGGTGTGGCCTCTAGTACACTTTCTTTTAGAAATTAAGCTTCAGAATGGCAGTGGACTAATGCCCTGTGAGTTCTGCATGCACACTTCATCCTGAAGGTGGGCAGGTGATAATTTAAGCAAGCCTGGCCAAAGCAGCTTGCAAGAAATAGCAATTGAAATGCATTAGAAAAAGGAGCGGCACTGCCTTGGGTCAATAAAAACAATCAGTATCTGCAAGTGGGTTTTCCAGACAAGTGATGTGACTGCTTTTGTTGTCCTTATCAAATACAATAACTTGTGTGAATAAAGATGGAGCCACACAGATGTCCTTCCCAATTTCTTCTGCTCAGTTATGCAAGGAATGCTTGCAGGCCCCTCGTAATGGATAGTCACATGAAAGTCAGGGTTGCCATTGGGTTTAGCACACCCAGTCAATATCAGCAAGCCCTTGGAGAACAAAACAAATCCCAAGATCACCAGGAATGAGCCAGGAGTTTGGAACCAGGAGTTTGGAATAAGAAGGTCTCTGCCTGCGCATGTGGAGGGTCTTCATCCCAGCTCAACCATAGATACACCAGCATGTCCAAATGAGGGTAAGTCCCTCAAAGGGGTATAGCAGGGATGGGATAGGGGGAAGCTTACCCCTATTCAAAACTCCTTTCAGTTCACTCATGTGACTAGCAACCTAGCGGACATTACACTGGCAAAAAGAACGGTCTAAGTCAAACTCTATTTTAAAAGCTTGTTTGACCGCTGCTAAGCTTGGGCTGCCTCAGCTGGCAATATCTTTGCTTCCCAATAGAGTTTTAAATAAGGGTAGTTTAGGTAAAGGGACCCCTGACCGTTAGGTCCAGTCGTGGACGACTCTAGGGTTGCAGCACTCATCTCGCTAAGGCTGTGTACCCATTACTGTTTGTTTGCTCCAGTGTGTGTGCACCAATGGCGTTTGACATCAAGTACACATGACATTAGCCACAACCAATGTCTATCATGTAGTTCTTTGAAAAGTACTGCTGCTGAACGGATGCATTTTTCCTCAAACGAGCTTCCACATGTTTTGAAAATAGAAACGCATGTTCTCTCTGCAGTTAAGCTGAGATGAGACAAGGTTGGGGGGAAACTGAACAGGTAATGTGCATCAGGTAAAGACATCCCTGCTCTCTCTAGTGGATAGCAACGTGCAAATGTGATTTGCAAATGTGGCTTGCAGTACACCTAACTGTATTTTAAGCCATTAATGTGTACGTACCCTAAGATCTGCAGATTGCCAGAAAGGTTTTCAGAACTTGAGATTCATTGCCTCTTAGGGTCATACTACACATTATGCCTGGAGAATATAATTTATTTCCCTACACTTTTTTGTTTTTGTTTTTGTTTGTTTTTTACTGAAATGCAGCAACAAGGCTGCACAGATGAAGGGATTTAAAAAAATTGTTTGTTCCTGTACTGTTTGTTTCCCCTTCTGGACAATATACAAAGTGAGCTTTTGATCAGGAAAATAGGGCTGGAATGAAAGGTTAAAGACCCAGACACCCTTGTTTCCCTTCCCTGCTGTTCTGTCCAAATTGGCAGGCCCCACCTTTCAGGTAAAAAAAGTTGGGAGATTAAAGAGTGCTCACTTTCTATAATGTGTCATTTTGGTCCTTAGAATTCCAATAAAGCCACCTTTTAAAAATGATATTTTTATTTATTTATTTTCTCAAAGAAGCAATATGTCAACCAAACTGAAAGAAAACATAAATCCAAAACCCAACTTCTGAGTCAGCTATAGAGGCTTCCCACAGGATCTTCTAATGACATTCCATCAAATCATACAAATACACAGATTTATTTCCTGCATGTAACCAGAAAAGAAAAACCAAGAAATGGAATAAGGCTTAAGCTGTTTGCAGAATCTTAAACTGGTTTTTGTATTTTATGCATCTATGATTCCCATGTAATATTTTTGGCTAAAACGTACATTCAGTTGAAAAATGCACTTAAATAGTGTGCAAGAGTCTGAAAGTTGTGTTGAGTGTCGTGCGTGAAAAATGCTTTCCAACTCCTTGAGAAAGGCAATAGAATTTAGGCATATGCTCCTAGAATCCATTTATCTAAATGAGATTCAAGCATGATTTTGCCATCTCTCAACTACCTTCTTTTTTGTTTTTTTAGTGAGTCTGACTTCCAAAATAAAGAATCAACCACAGCCTCTTCTTGCTGTTGGCCTTATAAAGGCAACATTAACGTGAACACAACATATAGATGGTACCAATGGATCTGAAGTAGGAGCAGCCTATATTACCCCACTGAGGGCCAAATGGGAAGATACTGCTGCATGCCACCCAATCTCTGAGCAGTGCGAGATTCCACAAGGCCATATCTATTGGCCTTCAGCTTTCATCATTGCCCACTGCAAACTGGAAGTCCCCTCTGGCATTGTCTTCTGCTAACCAGCCAGAGTGCAGTGCCGGGCTAATAGTCTTAGACTTGCTGATGGCTTCTCTCTGTCTCTTTTATTAGGTCAGTGACTCTGCTATTCCAGTGATAACCTCTGGATGGTTCCTCTTGGTAGCTTCTCTGCCAGGCAGTTTACGGGACAAGGATAGCTGAGTGCAGCAATTTAAAGTCTAACCCTATTTAACCCTCTTAAGCAGTGATAAATTCTAACATTTACTAGACTGAGGAATTTAGGGGGATCTGTGCCCTCCCCACGTACTCCTAACAATACATTAACTCAGTGGCTTTCAACCAGTGTGCCATGGTTGAAGGATGGTCAGGGGTGCCATGGGCAACACTGGCCTCTGTCCCTCTTTCCTTCCCTCCCTGCTCTGATGTCCTCTTGTTTATTGTAGCAGCCCTGGCTATAAGCTCCACATGTGATTGGTGCCTCTGGGAGGCACCTCTTTTTGGGGTGGGGGGACAGCTCAGAGATCAAGGACGGCAACGGCAGCTGTCCGGAGGACTCCCAAGGAAAGGGGAGAGGAGGTTGAGGGAACACTCCACAACGGAAGGTGTTTGAAAAAGGGCGAGATGCTGCCAGCTCTGTAGGCAAGGGGTGACAGAACTGGGCTCCTGAGCTCCACAGGGCGTGCCGCAGAAAGAACGTAGTTGGTTATGGGAGCCGTAGACTCAAAAAGGGTGAAAACCTCTGCATTAACTCTTTCACTATTAAATGCAGTTTAAAGAAAAAGACAGATTGCCAGTGTAGGGGCCCTGATCTAGATTGGGATTCTAGCACAAGGGCACTGGGGTTTTGACCCTCCTACCCCACTATGATCCTGACCTAGATTGGGGGACCCTTGTCAGCAATTCCCATAGGCAAAAGTTGAAGTCCGCCCCCCCCCATGCAAATTGTTGGTGTACCACCATAACCCTGGATCGGAATAGGTATCATAGTGGGGTGGCAAAGGGTTAGGTCTGTGTATATTCTTCCCCTATTCTATTGTCTTTATCTGGACGGGGTCTTCCATGCTTCACATTCATGTGGAAAAAAATACTACACTTACTGCATAGTTTGACCCGGACTCTTTTTCATATACAGTAAATAAAAAATCATCCTTATTTGGATTTTTTATTTTTATTTTTTTGCATTTTACTATATTCTGTTAAAGTCTGAATTCTCTTTTCATTATAAGTGATTTAGAAGAAATGATTGATTGTGTATAGATGACAAAAATATTTTGTTGTATACATTCAATTCTTCTTTTATGCAGTCCAAAATGGAACTGTCCTTTCCCCCTCATTTACATATTTTCTGAGACATGAAAGCTGCTGAAAAAGAAAAAAGGAAAAGAAATCTAGATATAGGGATGATACATCAGTATGAGATTGTGACTGCTCCACTCATCCTGCTCATAGTGAGTTCATGTAGTTTAACTTTAAGTACCATAGGCTAAAAATAATCAAAAATAAAAATGCTAATCAGCTATTACTAACACATGATAATTTGGTGGTCTTTTGACCAATATATTCGACCTTAGCATAGCTGAAAACCTATTACTCAACAATCTAAAAAAGTAGCTGAGAAGTACTCTTCATTGTCTTCTTATAAGTTTAAAATTAGCTTGCGAACACCCTTTGTGTGTGTGCGCACGCTTTTTTCACACTAATAAATGATACACATTGTACTTGACTGATGACTCTTCTCTCTCTTCACAACTGCTTGTGATTTTTGCAGAAGTGAGAGGAAGTATAGTTCAGGGATGGAAAATTGAAAATGAAGTTCACCTTAGTTGTGTTACCATCAATCACAGGCTATTTCAGTAAGCAAAGTTACAGAGAGCCTACATAAATAACATGCAGTCAATACATATCAAATTTTAAAACATTTCTAGCAGTCATTGGTCAGCACAACGTAAAATTATTTTCTGCTCCCAAATGGCAAAAATAAAATGCCCGTGAAACAGAAATTATTCAAAGGCCGCAATAGAAAGAGGTACAACCTATGGCTGTAGGGATGGCCCCAGACATCTGGCTGCCTGAGGCAGAGCAGCAAAAGTCACTCCTTCCCAACCTTGGTACCCAAGACCAGTCAAGTTATTTTTGCAACTGTGGCAGAAAGTGCTACAGCTACCCCATCTCTGCCTCTGCAGATAGAATAATAATAAATTAAGTAACTAACAACTTGCTATCATTTTATGACCCCCAAATCAGCTGCTTGAGGTGACTGCTTCACCCTGCCTAATGAGAGGACCAGAACTGGGTCCTCAGAGCAGCAGTTATACTCAACATGGGCTTCTCAACAACTAGAAATTGTCTATATTTCCCAGGCAGAATAATGAACTAAGGATTTATTATACAGTCATGGATGTGTGTTAAAAAATGGCTATTGGTCATCAGGGATGCTCATAGAAAGTACACAAACAGCTGGTTTCCATTTTTAGATTTGGACCGTAATTAGCTGGTAGCAGGGAATCATCCAACCAATTATGTTACAACACATCTCAATTCAGAAGTAAGACCCACTGAATTTAGTCAATGAGATTTACCCCCAGGTGAGTACGTATGTATAGTACTATATTAATGGCTCAACAGTCTATACGCCTCTTTTCCCCTTATAACTCATGTGTATGTTGCTACATTTGTTTGTGTGTATGTACGTGTGTACCAGTATGCATATGTATCTAAAAAGGGAATATTTAGATGATTCATAATTATGTAGGTTTTATATTAAATGGCAGCAATGTAGTTAAAGGGTTTGATAAGTATAGAGAGGAAGATTACTTCGTTGATGTGATTTTATTTTAGACTTCACAAAAAATATGATTAATTTTAAATACAGGGGAAGCTTCTCAAGTACTAGTCCCTTAACCCATGAAACAAAAGTGTAAGGGTGAAATCATGTGCAAATTCCTGAGACCCACAGTGGAAGATGGAGCAGTATTTCATCACCCCTCCATCCTGTCTAGATATAGCTCCAGCTGAGAACTTCTGCTATGTACATGAAACTAAATTATCCTATACTTTTACGCAACTAATTATATTTATTGTAGGCTGCCTTGTGAGGGTTTTGCCTTGAAAGGCAGCATATAATTACTAATAATAAAATAAACAAGCTGAACCTGAGTCCATTGATTTCAATGAACTCAGGCATGCCTAACAATTTTCAGTGGAAGAAGTAGAGGGGCTTTAAATGAAATTTGTAAGTCCCAACTTCCCCCACATTTTAGCCAAATCATGCTCCACATAACCTTAAAACAGTACCTGTCACAGCAGGTAAGCAAGGTGAAGTCTTCTTTGGCCCCTTGTAATTTGAGCACTGGTGTCTAAATCTGGATATGTCTAGGCTGGACATCCACAAGGCAACCTGCTTGACCGCAGTGGAATCATAAGAGTGTTTTTAATCACAAATGTTTTCATTTCAGATTTCTGGTCATTTGTTCACATGTGTTCAAGAGGAGATGAAGGCAACTGGATCTTGCATAATTTGGCTTGGGTTGGCCATCCTTCTTCCAGTCTCTCATTCTATAGCAGTCACTGATAAAACAGGTATTTCTTTATTCCTCTTCCTTTCTAATTAGGCACAGAAACTTTGTCAGGGTGATATTGATGCTTTTGAGAGAATAGTCCAGTCGTTTGCAAAGTATAGAGGCACAGAAGGCTTTTCGAGATGTTCAACAGGGCAGGTACAGCTATGTAGAAAGTTGTACTCTCTGCATAATACAACCACCACATGGAAAGTGCATGTACAACGAAATGCATGGAGGGTTAATGGAGCTTTGGAAGCTAATCTGGAAAGTATTTAATTAAACTTCTCTATTAAAAGATGTTTCCACCCCAAGGTATCCAACAGCAATATTTCCATTTCCTGTCCACTCACAGGAGTCTACATTTGGAATGAGCTTGCAATCGTTTACAGTTATGTTGTGCTGCTACTGATACTTCCTCATTTTCTTAAGTTACATATTGAAAAAGAACCCAGCCCTGGGCTTTGAAACAGAGCACAGTCATGAGTGCAGTTTGGTTTGCTTGGTTCTATGTGTCCTGCACCATGATCCTGACGATACTTAGATGTCATAATGCTTTTAATGGAATTTTCTTCCATGTAATTGTGCATGAGTTGGCAATTTAAATCAGTGAATGTAAGGACATGAATGGGCAAATGTGCTTAGGAACCTCACTAGCCTTTCTCTGGATCAGTGCTTGTCTGATAATTTGTATGTGCTATGACCAAAAAAAAAAAAAAAGGTTCCTAGGAAAAGTTATATAAGGTGAAAAAGAAACACTTTTCACCAGTACTTTGGAACTTCTGCTGCGTTGCTATTTTTTCCTTCCATCTGTTTGATTTTTTTCCTTGCAAAAAACACATATAAACCTGCTGCCCTTCCACTTATACATCCCTCTGCTGCTGCTCACCTTGGCCCTCACAAAACTTTTGGACCATCTGCCTCTTAAAATCATCAAGATAGTTGTCATCTTCTGAGGATTAAATCAGTTTTTGTAATTGCAGAAACAGCTGGTTTAGTTGTATTTCATCAAACGTTGACCTGGCAGTTTCTGAGGACTGGCCATAGACTGCATTTGTATTTTGATAGTTCACTGGTGCTCAGTCTGCAACACCAGGTGGGGTGATTCAGAATGACCCCAGAGAGGGCACAACCACACTTGCCCCATGATTTCAAGTTACAGGTCTGATGGGGCTTTTTTTTTTCTTCGGTTCTGCTGCTTTCTCCAGGAAAACCTGCTGTTTACTGCTGAATGAGAACAAGCATCAATCGGCTTTTCTGCGGATTGACCCATGACTTTAAATCACGGGATGAACAAAAGCGTAGCTGGGTCCTAAGACATCTACATCAAATGTTGTAGGAGAGAATCTTACTGATTTACACGTGGACAAAATAACAACACTTTTTGAATAGAAAAAAGAAATGGGATTGATTTTCAGTTTGCAACGTTGTTCATATAACCCATACAAAAAGGTGGAAGGTATGAGCTATCCCATCTAAATGCTAAAATTTAATATAAGATATATTTAAGAATTATTTTTCTTAGACCAGAAGGAGTCCAGTGTTAAGCGGAACCTCCAAGCATCTTGAAATACCAGTAATAAGTGCTAAGTGATTACAAATGTGCTGAAGGGTAGCAAGAACTGTGGATAAGCAAACCTTGCATTACAGTCTCTTTCCTAAACTCTTAAGGCAGCAAAACCTCCTCAAGACTCGCTGATCTCAGCTCCTGAGAGAAATGGAAAGCAAACTACCCAGTGAACCTACCATATCCTTCCCTTGCCCTTTTCAGGTGTGAAGTTACAAAGTTCTGGATGCAATATATCCTTAATTGGATGGTTGAATGCACAGACTATTTGTTTTTCAGGGTCTCAGGTCATCAGCACTATCAGAAATGACTATCAGAAATGAAGAATGACAAAATTCACCAGAGAACGTTAGCAGTCCACCACTGATGCTGAATAGTGACCCTTCACTATAAACAAAAATATCTAAAAACAATATTGACACCCTGCACCTTCCCCATTTCTGCTGTCCACCGTAACATAGGCCTTAAAGTATCTACAAGTTTTTGAGCCAAAATGCAGAGGATGGAGGTTTGAGAGGCAAAATGTTTCTGGTTCAGCATAAAATAATGAAAAGAGTCAAAGTTATTTATGCCAAGCGAAACTGCTGAAGTAGGCATATCAAAGGAGAGCTAAATCTCTAAGCACCTCATTCTACTGAAGTTTCTTTTTGCACCACTATTCAGTGAAAAGTGAACTCTATACACCTTTGGATTTCCTTTTGAGTCTGTTTCCATAGGATCCCCTTATGTCTCTGTCCCATCCCTGATGCCTCCTCATTCCTTAGAATCTTAGATGATCCTATATTGCTGAGTTTGTTTCTCCTTGGGTCCATGGCTGTTTTGGATTGAGACTCTTACACATTGCACACAATGGTCTAATTGCATTGAAATGATTCTCAGAACACTTGGAGCTTCACAGAAAGCTCCCAATTAACCTTGATTTTTAAAGTGGCATATACTGAAATATGAAGGCAATTACTCACGCTAAAGAAAAGAGAGAGATTACATGTGTGGGCTGTTATGAAGGAAGAAGTAAGGTTTGCTTTCTGCTTAGTATCCTGAATGAGCCTGGGGAATGACTTCATTTAATTAGCTAATATTGTATTAATTAAGGAAATGGCAAGGCTGGGGATGGGGTTGGGGGAGAAGAAGAGATGTTGCAGAGCGGCAGATTATGCTGGTTACGCTTGCAGCAGCCTGCCTGGGCAAATGCCGATAGCTTTTTGGTTCATAGCAATGTTCCCCTTCAGTTTTCACTGGTGCAGAACTGCTGGTATAAGAGCCATTTACTGGAGGGAAGTGATTACTTCTAAAAATAAAATCTAACAAATCCAAAAGAGAGGGTTGGGTTACAATACTGAAGCTCACGGAGCTGTCAACAGCCATGTGTTAAACTAAAAATGAGTTATTTCTTGTAATTGTTTTATTCGTTGACTTTTCAGGGATTAAGGTTGTTTAGGAACATTTATGTTTTCACTGGATTCATAGGATTTCTCTGTTGGCAGGGCCATAAAGAGTTTTAAGTGCTAATTTATACATTTTAATTGTACACAAGTCTGTTAAAAAAAATTCCTTAGTGATTATTGCTGTGTGTTCGAAATTCCTATTATGGGCATCATTCTACTACAATCCTAATCTTCCTACAGATGGGCGCCATCTACACTTCCAAGGGGTTTTTCTTTTGGCCGCATCAATCCACAGAAAACCCGATTGATGTATGTTCTCATTCAGTGATAAAACAGTGGATTTTTCTGGGGCAGCACAAATGAAAGACTTCTCAGACCTTTGCCTAGAAATCATAGGTCAAACGGAAGTGTGGGAGAGCCCTTAGTCTTGACGGACTAAGGCTGCAATCCTGTGCACATTTATGTCCAAATACATCCCATTGAACTAAGTGAGTTGTATTATCGAGTAAGCATAAATAAGATCAGGTTGCACTTCCCATTGAAATCAATGGAAGATAGTAGGTGCAACTTACTTAAATCCGTTGATTTCAGTGGTATGTGCTGATGTCCTTTGCATCCTTACCTGGAAGTTAAGTACCATTGAACATAGTGGGGCTTACTTTGGAGCAAACTTCCATGGGCATGTGCTGTTAGTCATGATGACTATGCTTAGCTGGCTCGTTGCTGTGAATGGTAGGGACTAATTCAGGGTCACATCCACACGATACCTTTGAAGCACCCTTATACCACTTCCTTGGAGCTGTAGTTTGTTAAGCATGCTGGGAATGGTAATGAAGGGTTTCCTAATAACTCTCAGCACTCTTAGAAGTTCTCAGTTCTCAGAATTCTTTAGGGGAGGCCATGATTGTGTTCCAATTCTAACTATAGAGATTCAGAAGGTCTCAGTAACTTCTCTATGGAATCCTAGATTTCTGACAAAGAGCATATTAACAATATATTAGCTTCCGGTCAGAATTTTAGACATGTGAATTTTTATTCAAACACCACTTGAGTTTGCAAAAATGTTCTCCAGTCTTGCAGTTTTTAATTGGTTTGTTGGAACCCAGTAGCAGTCCTACAGTTCTCTTGTTGCCATTGTTGTTTAGGGTGATTTTTTAAAAGAGGAAAAGCAGAAAGATAGATTAACAGAGAAAATGTATAGGAAAGAGAAAGAGAAAAGAGATCAGTTGCAAATAGGGCAAAGTTCCTTTAGTTCTGTGGAAGAAGGAATGCCGGCAAATGCTGTTTATCATCCCTGCATGACAAGCTGGAGAGGGCAACATTCTCTCTTCTGCAAAACTCTGAAATGTACAAGAACCTGTCCTTTCAATCTAGTCTCCCCAATGGTAAAATGAACGTCGTCCTCACATGCTTTGTTTCCCCTAAAACCTGACAAGTGTAACACTTAGAGTGAAAATTCTTCTCTCTTTTATTTAAAAATATTGTGTAATTATTATATGGCATTCAGTTGCATGTGAAATCTCACAACTCCCACAACTGTACTGAGGTAATTTCCTTCTAATAATTCGAATTCATTTTTATTCCTAAAGCAGCACAATGAATAATTCCTCTAGTTACTTCAGTGGGACTATTCATGTACGTTTGGGCATTTACATTCAGAATTACTCAGTAGTGTACTCAGACACTGACTGTACACAAGTTGAACTCCTCACATTGTGTGTCATGTAAAAGTTAATGTTCCCAGGACTTTCAGTTCTTACAGCTCACGCTCTATTTATGGCCTAGCGGCAGACGACTCAGGACAGCCTTGCATGGATGTAAAGTGCTGCCTATGATATGGTAGTTCTAAATATTTTGCTTGGAAGGCTAAACTTAATTGAATGCCAGCATTTAATATGTGCTTTCTCCCGCCCACGCTGGTTGGCACAATGGTGCAACGCAACGGTCTGTGGCGGCAGGTAGAGGCACACAGTGTGACTGTTTTTGTGTTAGTCAGGATGCATAGCAGAGACAATGCAGCCATATTGCTCTTTCCAACAGAGGTTTTAAGATAGCTGCTTTCCCCCCTCC